TTCACTACAAGATCTTGTGTATTGCATGAAAAGCGTGGACCACCACAAAAATTGAACAAATCAATTTTGAAAAATTTAATTTCTTTTTTATAGCTCAATTTCAAAATGCCGATCTTTGAGAAGGGAATATTGTGTTAATTGACCATCAGCAAATGTGTATAAGCATAAAAATACTCAAAATACTTTCTCATTTGTCAAATCCCAGATGATTTTTGATGTCACCACAACCTCTGTTATCATGTTTTTACATTCCAGTTCACACATAATGCAGGATATGACAGTTCATGAAAGATGGTCTATTGTGATTCTGTATAATTTAAAAAAACATGGTAAAATACATGTACATGTACAAGTAAGTAGTGAATTACTTGTGTCTAAAACAGAAACAGTTGAAAAAAAAATGATGACATAATTTCTGAAGCTTCCACCAAATATATATATATACAATATACAACATCATTTGTTTTAATCATGTAAATATGACATTTCATAACTGAGAAAATCATATTACATAAATTAAATAGATATAATAGGTAAATATACAATACCCGTAACACACAACAACATTCACAAATTTACTTGTGAGGACGGCCTATACTTTTTTTCAATTGCCTGTGATAGCAACAGCATTAACAGTAGTTTTCATTGCCAAAAATATATTTCCATTTATTGATATCCCTGTTTTGTCCAAATTTAACAATAAAACTACCTGATGTTAAATATTAATATTTTTATTTCCATAAATATATTTCCATTTATTGTTGTCCCTGTTTTGTTCAAATTTAACAATAAAACTACCTAACGTTAAATATTAATATTTTTATTTCCAAAAATATATTTTCATTTATTGTTATTTCCATTTTTTTCAAATTTAACAATAAAACTACCTAACGTTAAATGTTAATATTTTTATTTCCATAAATATATTTCCATTTATTGTTATCTCCATTTTGTTCAAATTTAACAATAAAACTACCTAACGTTAAATATTAATATTTTTATTTCCATAAATATATTTCCATTTATTGTTATCCCTGTTTTGTCCAAATTTAACAATAAAACTACCTAACGTTAAATATTAATATTTCCTGCAATATTTTTGTGAGTGGTAAATTAGAATACAAAATAAAGAATTTCTGAAAGCCTAATCTGGTTAGAAAGCCATGTGGTTATATAAATCAGCTGTTGCTCCCACCTTTAGGATTCCCACCATTAGGAATAGAAAAACTAGTTGTTTTTTTTACGGGAGATAAACTTCCACTGATTTTGACGTCTTTTGGGGTAACCTGACCAGACTGCACACTAGATCTTGCTGTAGATGTGCTCTCACTCTTCTGTTTATTCTGATGTTTCTTGAATCCAGATGCACTTGTCAGACTTCCAAACTCTTCTTCCACTTCCAGAAGATCGTCAATGTCCATGTAGCCATCTTGCGGTGCCCTGGTAGCAGGTGAAAGAACACTGTCACCACTTATGTCACTACTGGGATTAGTCTCAGTTGAACTGTGAAAGATGGAAGTGGAGTCACACATTCACACAGTTAGAATAGAATAGAATAGAATAGAATAGAATAGAATAGAATAGAATAGAATAGAATAGAATAGAATAGAATAGAATAGAATAGAATAGAATAGAATAGAATAGCAGAGCAGAATGAGACAAGAATAGAACTAAACAGAGTAGAATAGAATAAATACAACTATTACATTACAATATAATTGACAATACATTAACTAAATAGATTTATAGATTCATGGACAATTTAGATTCAGATATGCGATATGTTTTATATAGCACTATAACAAAACATGTTTTCTACATACAATTTCTTCTCTGGTGCATCAGCAGTGTTATTGTTGTTTATTTTATGTTTGTCAATGTCTTCTCCAATCAACCAATATGTTGTCATATCACCTTTGCCCTACAAACAATATTGATAAAGCCTTCAAACAAAGATAAATGACAACAATACTATATTTGCTTTATCAGAGGAGTCAGCATGTCTATCCAAAAACTGCATCTATTGTTTAACGGTTCATTACAATATATCTTATTTTGAGTAGTCAGACTCCCATTACAGTGTATTGAGAAAATGTATGCACTGGTAATAGACTGAATTTAGTAAATCTTTTTAAAATCAACGGAATTCATTTACAATGCAAACACAATGCTTCATTATTTTGATACCAATATATCATCATAAGATTATAAATGAATTATTGTTGTTTGCCAAATACAGCATCTACACAGGGACTTAAGGATGGATATTGGTAGCTCAAGAATGGTCTGTTGAATCGCTATGTAAATACGTAGACGGCACAGAATTCAGTGTCATCAGTGATTGGCTGTCTCCATGAATTAATCAGTACATCAACCATCATGAGAACTCGCATGCGCTGACTGACCCAAATGAAAGTTCCACCCACAGCCCTCCAAACCAATTCACTAGTCTATTATTCATAGATTTTTCATGAAGTCTCACGATAATAGATGGCATCTAGTTTATAGTTATTCATGTCTATCAATTTTTTTAAAATAAATGTAGCTTTCATGATACATTAATTGAGATAATGAAAAGTACAAGCTCACTTTTATGGCTACTGTTCCTCTTGATTTGGTATAATATCCCCCAAGTTCATCTAAAATAAACTTTGTCTCTGTTGATATATGTATTTTGTTTGGTTCCCCATTGGTTTCCATTCTAGAAGCTGTGTTTACTGCATCACCAAACAGACAGTACCTAGGCATTGTAGAACCAACAACACCAGCTGCAACAGAACCTGAAATACAAATATATGTGAATGTTACAGCAAGTCTCAGAAGTATTGGGGCAGCCAATTTGCAAACTCGCTAGCGAATTCGCTAAATGTTTGAGTTTTGACTAAACAGTTGGCTTTCGAATCTCGCTGGCGCCGACTCGTGGTCACCTCCACTCCGGGCGAGTCTATTTTGCATTAGGGAACATAGTATGTTTTTACATAGCCTGGTACATGTCTGGATTCCCCCGAATGATTTGCTTTGCGAGGCGTGGTAATGTGAAAGTAGTTTCCCTGGTCAGCCTGAGAATAGCCACAGTCAGCTGGCGTACAAGTGATAATATGATAAATGCGATTAATCCACCGATATTTACTATATGAGAGTAACCGTCTTGAACACTGATTGAAACTAAATAAAGAGACAAGTTGAGAAACAGTTCCCTATAAATCAGGGAGAAAATAAATTTTCACATCCAACCGATTCGTTGGGGTAACATTAAACCAACCGCTAATAAAATTCAACTTCATTCATCATTTTTGCGTGGACAATCCCTTGTATACGAACACCACGAAGAAAATGGAACACTTTCCCTGGTATATTTGAAATCAAAGTCGCCATCCAACTAAAGTATGACGACTGTCCCCTACTGTTATATAGATTCACCCAGAGTGGGCGTGACCACCGGATGGCGCCAGTGAGATTCGAAAGCCAAATGTTTAGTCAAAACCCAAGCAGTTAGCCAATTCGCTAGCGAGTTTGCAAATTGGCTGCCCCAATACTTCTTAGACTTGCTGTAGCATTTCAATGTCTCAAAAATGTTAAATACAAAAATCGTCTAGTTTTGTTAAATGTACATGGCTTATATACACAGTCACAAACTGGTCTTACAGGGCTTAATGTCATCTAATGCCAAAGTAATGGTAATAAAAAGTGTTATAACAAATTTAAATTCATTCCTGTCTATTTGTAATAAAAGTATATAATAATGCTTTAGATTAATTTGCTTTCTGCAGTCATTTCGCTAAATGCTAATTGTTCTCTAGTGTTGATCAAGATTACATGTAAGTGAGACCTAGAACGCTATATACTGTAAAATACTTTATTTTCACTTGGTATCTATTTTCGCTATCTTTGCTGATGAGAGGAATTAGTGAAAATAAAATCTCTTTTTCCTATACTTTATAATCAACTCATCAAAAATCAGTGAAAATAAACACTATTCAAACAACCAAAATGTGTTTATCTTTAAAAGTTTACAGTATAGACATAAATCCAATGTATATGACGTTGAAAAGATACTAACCTGTATTGATTCCTATCCTGACTTGTAAATATTCATCTATATGCCTGACTTTAAATGACTGGAGACCTTTTAATATGGAAAGTGACATACTAGCTATTTCACCAGCATGTCTGTTACCATTCCTTTCTGGTAGACCTGATACTACCATATATGCATCCCCAATGGTTTCCACCTTATATACAAACAGAAATAGTGAATTAGTGACTTCACACTCATTTCATTTATACAATAAAGAACTGCATGTAGGCTGTAAATATCATTGTACCTATGTGGTCTTGTTTGTCTCTTTTTGAGTAAATTAAGTTTTCTTTCATTCTGTCAATATCTGGAATTATTATACATCTGTCACCGTAACGCCATAAGTTACAGTGTGCCGTAATTTTGCGGTATTTTACGGGGTATTTTCATCCTACCATACATGTATAAGGAAATGCGAATTTCAAATATGGAAAGATTACGCGTAAGCCTCCTCTAATAATAAAAACAAACATGGCTGCCACCAGGGTTTGACCAGACTCTACGCAGAGAAGTATGCTGATAAAATGTATAATAATAAGGTTATTACGAGGTTACCTCAAAGTATGTACTCAGGACAGTACACCGTCGCATCAACCTCCAAAACTGCTGCTGTACTGTCTTCGTGCATACTTTGAGGTATCCTCATAATAACCTCATATTATACAATGAATTATGGAACACATGCACTGCATTCATCCCACTAGAAAATGCTCTCATTAATTACTCGATGAACATATTGGTTTCAAAAGATAACACATTATTAACAAGGACAGATCAGTATGAAACTTATTAGGGACATACATTGTATACGAAAATAAAAAATAAATTAAATCTCATGGCCACAACTTTGTAACAAGTGGTCACAACTTTTTTATTTTGTGGTCACAAGATACCAAGTCCCAAGTTTTAAATTTTAATTTCATTAATAATAAATTATATTAGAACAGTAGAGTTAATTAAATTTCATTAGATTGGATGAGACCAAAATAGAACAGAACAGAATGAAATATAATGGCTAGATTCTACAAACTTATTGATTGTAATTTTTACCTTGTATACAGCAAAGTGTTGGATGACATCATCAAACCATGAGTAGATGTCATTGAGTATATCTATAACTTCCATCGGTGTGTGCTTAGCACACAGCTTAGTAAATCCAACAATATCACTAAAATATATTGTCACTGAAACAAAGAATTCACCAACCACAGAGTCTCCTCTCTTTAGTTGCTCGGCTACAGTCCTATGATGTAAATGAAATGTATTTGTTATACTGACAATGTTGTTGAATTATGTCATCATTTAGACAGTATCAATATATATAATATGATTGTTCTCCATGCCAGACAACTATTGCTGAGCTAAACTGTTACATTAGGACATATCTAGATCACTGTATTAACCAATGTGGCACATGTCAACCAATGCATGGCACACGTCAACCAATTTGTGGCACATGTCAACCAATTCGTGGCACATGTCAACCAATTCATGGCGCATGTCAACAAATTCGTGGCACATGTCAACCAATCCATGCCACATGTCAACCAATCCATGCCACATATCAACCAATCAATGCCACATGTCAGCTAATCTGTGCCACATGGCAACCAATTAATGCCACATGTCAGCCAATCTGTGCCACATGGCAACCAATCAATGCCACATGTCAACCAATCAATGCCACATGTCAACCAATCCATGCCACATGGATATTCTATACTTACAATGGTAACATTCTATAAAGCAGTAAGTCTGTTTTCCGTTTCTCTTCAACCAACTGTGCAGTCCTATCTGCAACAATAGTTTCTAAATTTTCAGTATACTTTTCTAACATCAACACCATGTTGTCCATTAAACCACGTTTTCTGCAATAAGCAAAATGCAACGATTCAGAAATCAATGGACAGCACGACAGTGACACTGAATTCTACTAACTTTAATATAGTGATAGCAACAAATGCCAAATGGGGCGCTGCAGTAAAACATATTTGTACCAAATAAAATGTTTGAAAAGACAGACGGACGGACGGATGGATGGACGGATGGACAGGCAGATATTACTTATTGCAACATACTATACTGTATTTCTGATTCATATATGTTCTCATAGGGAATGACTGACAATATAAAAAAACTCTACACATACTCTAGTCATACTAAGTTCAGGATTATTGTGTTTTGCAGTCATTCGATTTGAGGACCTTACGTCTGCAATTTATATCACACTTTTGACGATGACATATAATATTTAATAACTCATAATAACTCAAAAATGGTCATAAAAAACAAAACAATCAAAGAGAGAAACACCAACAAAAACACAATGCTCCAAACTCATTCAAAAGACAGTTACCCCTGTGTGGTATTAAGACTGGCCTTAATGAATTGATATGAGGTGATTGCTAGCATGCCATAAAGTATCACTCAGACAGTCTCATCAGTCTCACATATGTTTTGATCTTCTCATGCTGCGCTCATTTCATAATACTTAATATATAGTCAATGTAATTGAATCAACTAAATAAACTCACAAGAAAAACAGAAGAATCAGAACACAAACAGAATGAGTCAATGTGACGGTAGTTATACATGTATATCAGTGTTTTAATGAGCGTACTGTGGTTGAAATGTAAGATCATCCTTTTAGTACATATTGAAAGGTCAACTCAGGTCACAGATTTACTTTCACCTCAAGACATCTCTCATTGACTCATTCATCTAATTGAGATATGCATACCTTGCATGGCATATACACTGGTATTTCACACACTGAGGCCACGTCTTTGGTTTCAATATCCCGCTGACTGATAAATATTTGATTATTGCACAATTTCATCAACTTCATAAAAATGTTTTCTCAACTGAGTGCATTTATCTAGGACTTTTCTTGATTTGTTTTAGAAAACACTTATGGGGTGCATTTTGGGGGATTGAAAAGTGATGAATGGGGGTAGCAGCTTTCTGAAATTCAGATACCCGGCATATGCAGTGGACTGAAATGTGCAGATATTGTGGGAAATTATATACCATGTCTACAACAAGATAAATCAGGACACTACATCTCTATACGAGTGTATATACACCTAATGTGGATCAATAGGTGATTTTACAATCACTGCGAAGTTACACAAATCTGCGAAAATGGAATGATTCATTTTTGAGCTTGAATTTTGAATTTATAGTTCAATGTCAAAATGCCAAGCTTTCAGAAGGGAATATGATGTTGAAAAACACTTGCTTCATAAAATTGATTATCATCATTTGTGTATAGCACATTATTAAGCATGGTAATACCCCAAAATACTTTCCCATTTGTTGAATCCCACACAAATTTTTTATGTTAAGGTTGGATCTTGCAGTGAACGGAAAATGGTCTATATGTTTAGTTACTTACCTGCCTCTGTTCATATTTCTAAGTCTCTGTCTAATAGTATGAAAATCTGGCCTGTCTTCTGGTCTTTCTTCCCAGCACTGCGTCATGAGTGAAAAAAGTGAAAGAGTAAGATGATTTTCATTTTCTGGTGTTATCTCAGGACGGAATGGTGGTTCTTCTCTCTGCATTACACGTCTTACGATTTCTATGAGTAAACAAAAGGAACTACATATTTTTTCAAATTGTGCAAATAAAATATAACTTAAAAATAATGTATATTTTTTCAAATAAAATGGTAATATTTGACTATAAATAAGCAGAAGTTGCAAATCCATGAAGCAGTGATTGCATCCTATCCACTACCTAACATTTTTCATCAAATTTCAATACGATACACCAGGGCTTAAATAAACTATTATTTCAATTTTCATAAATGGGACTTTGTCTGGAAAATCCACTAGTATGCGAAATACACAATGTAAATATTACACAATGAAACCTGAATCAGTGTTCTATTTTAATAATTGATGCATCTTGATAAAAACAAGAATATTATTTATCTTGAAATAAAATATATATAGCAGTGTTTGATAAAATACTTAAGTCTCATATGCTACAAATTACCCATATATAGATTAGTGTTACTTCTCTTTTATATTACAAACTACATGTATAAAACATAATTAATAAACATGCTTAAATTATCTGTCTTTTCTCTTTAATTTGATGTGTCAGCACCACAATGCGTGCTTGATATTAAAAAAAATCGCTCTGGTGGCCAATTGTATTAAAGTAAATATTACATTATAAAACATCAGTGTGTGTAAATGGTGAATACAAGAAAACAAATAACATGGTGATTCAGGGGGCACAAAGTGCCTGTAATTACCCACAATCCTATGTGGTATGTATATATTGGTTGGAAAAAGTTTGGTACATGCTGTCAATACAGAGCCATCTGTGAATATGCTTCATGCATTCTGAGAACATACCGGTATACTTTATTCAAATTTGTTTTCTCCAGATTGCCATACATTACATACAAAAACAGTGACTCCACAATTTCCTCAATCAAACTATACAGACCTCTGGGGGATCCGTCCCAATCAGGAAAGGGACCTTGTCTTGTGATAATTTCTTGCATAATAATAGCATAAGAGTAGACATCTCCTTTAGGGCTTCCTTTAGAAGGACATTCTAAGCGAAGCAATTCAGGCGCTGTCCATAATTTTCCTGCTGACAGAAGTCAATAGTATATATCATATATTTGGAAGATATTAGTAAACACACAGGTGGGTTGTAAACAGGCAATGCATGCTGGGCTTATTAATGATCATTATATGGCATCATGGTTTGGAAAATGAAATATTTCGACTACTACCAATATGACCTTTTGAGCACCTTAATTTTTTCTGCCAAAATTTTGGTAAACATTTTGCATAATTTTAAGTATTTTCTATAATATTTTTGATAATTTTGGACCAAAAAGACGGATTTTCTATTACCTACATTTCTACAAGTTAACACAGCATTGAATAACTGTCATAACATAGGTAGCATTTTGTAGTTTTTTATGTTGATTATAACATAACAACATCTTTAATGAAGGTCACAAGACATTTTATCTTTTTAATTTGATTATAGGATGATTTTGAACAGAATGAGGATGTGTTAAAAG